AGGGACTGACTGACTGACTGAGGTGTAGGAGTGAGGGAAGGACAGACTGTGAGGTGTAAAGAGAAGGGGTTCTGTCTCACCAATGAGGCAGACTACTGGTGATGACATCATTGCTCTTGTGGTCTGTTCCACCATTGACGTAGACTACTAGTGGTGACGTCACTGCTGTGGTCCACCAATGGAATGCCTAAAGTGACTTCAGCTCACTTAAAATGCAGAGAACTTGTGACATAATGTTACAAGCAAGTTGTAATGATTTGATAAGAACTGAAAATTACAGTAAATTCTTAAACAAGCATCTTTTAATCCAGTGCCAGCAAGAGTAAAATAGTTCGTTATACAAGTGGAAATAAAACTGAAGTACAAAGTAAGTCAACAATGTCATAACATTGTTGAAGTTACGATATTTTGTACAATAGTTTCATCTTCATTTGTATAACACAATGTTTTAATCTAGCTGGCACAGCACTGAAATAAAAAAATGCTAGTTTAAGAATTTACCTTAATTATCAGTTATATATTTATTACGTGTTCACAACTTACTTTGTAACCAATGAATTTTTCCTCTGGACAAACTTTTGTAATTGTATTTTGTTTTTGTTTTTCAAATGTTACACAGATTAAAAATTAATTACAAGGCAGTGTATCTTCAAGGGGATAAGTGATGTTTGTGGCAACTTGGGGATGTGTGAGGCTCTTAAGAGCTATCTGTGTCTCTGGGGAGGCTGATTGATTCTCCCCTAAGATCTACATGATGCTTCTAGGGGGCTTATAAGTAGGTAGTTGTGTACAGCTAGTAAGGGCTATGTGATGACACTAAAGGCTGTCTGTCACTGCTAGGGACAGTGATGCTGCCAAGGGCTGGGTGCCAAGGCTTGTCTGAGCCCCCTACTATAGAGATAGGCGAGACACGTCGACCAAGGTACACTGGTAGCCTTTATGTGGGACCCTGTGTACACAGGTTGTAGTACCATAAGGGCAACCTAACCTAGCAGTAACCTGGTGTCAATCATTACAATAAATATTTGTATAGTAACTTAATGTGTCGTATAAATGAAAAAATGTTTTGTTTTGTTTTAATAATCCTCATAAAAAGTTGAAAAGAAAAGGGTTCCAAAGACAAAAATGAAAAGAGCCAATTATTATACTTCCCGAAAAGTAGAAAATCTACGTCACCGAAAAGTAGATACTTACGATGTTTTGAGAGTCCGCATTTACGATCTTTTTACTTGTAAGTTCGAACTTAGGAGAAAAAAATAACATGCGGTATTTCTTAATATCAAAAGATCGTAAGTATCTACTTTTAAGTTATTTTTTCTTTAAGTTCGAACTTACGACAGTTAAAAAGATCGTAAATTCGGATTCTCAAGATCGTAAGTATCTACTTTTCGGGAAAGTAGATTATATACTTTTCGGGAAAGTAGATTATTGAGTTTTTGGGGAAGTATATTATCGATTTTTTGGTAAAATATTACCTAATTTTCCGAAGTAGATTATCATAGAAAACGGGAAATTTTTATCATAGAAAATGGGAAATATCTACTTTCCGGGAAAGTTGGTTATCTACTTTCCCGAAAAGTAGATAGATTTTCTACTTTTCGGGAAAGTAGATTATCGACTATTCGGGGAAGTAGATTGTCGACATTTGGGGAAATATTACCTAATTTTGCGAAGTAGATTATCATAGAAAACGGGAAATTTGTATCATAAAAAATGGGAAATATCTACTTTCCGGGAAAGTTGGTTATCTACTTTCCCGAAAAGTAGATACATTTTCTACTTTTCCGGAAAGTAGATTATCGACTTTTCGAGGAAGTAGATTATCGATTTTTGCGGGAAATATTACCCAATTTTGCGAAGTAGATTATCATAGAAAACGGGAAATTTGTATCATAAAAAATGGGAAATATCTACTTTCCGGGAAAGTTGGTTATCTACTTTCCCTAAAAGTAGATACATTTTCTACTTTTCCG